AGTCAGCAATCTCTGGTGGTCTGGTGGGTAAGGAGTTGTCCTCTCAACCTACGGGCAGACATGGCCAATCCACTACTTGTTCTATGAGAGAAAGGTTATTAATCTCCTCCCTGTTCAATTGATAGCTTCTGAAAGCCCACTGGAAGCTCAGCTATGAGACTGTTACTATCCTATGGAATAGAGCAACCACAGCAGTGCAGAGTCAATGCCTGCACCAATACTCTTAGGGAAGAAAACTCCCCTTGAAGTGTAAAAAAGCAAACAGTAGTATCAAAAGAAAACAATTGAAAGAAAAGTTTAAGTATGATGTAGAGCTATAAGATAATACTAGAAATGCCCTGGTTCCAATTGAAAACGTAAAAACAAGAATCTAGATAGTTTCCAGTTAAACAAAAAAGTTAATCAATAGATGGCAACATAAGAGACCTCTTCTAGCTTACTGGGTAAAGTGTTGCAGTGTGAACTCAAAATCAATAGGTTCAAATCTACAATTTACTTTTTGGTCAAAAGGTAAGAATTTTCCTATATAATTTCCAGCCTTTGAAAATCCTCTTGAGGAGCCAGTTCTAAAACAGTTCAGATTTGATAACGCATAAAAACAAGAAGCACAGAAATGCTTGAAGGAAAACAGAAACATATTTGAAATGAATCAATTAATAAGAAGGTCTCAGCAAAATAATGGGAGCACTCTGACTGCAATTGCTCCAATACAGGTTAGTTTCTTCTATTAGAAGTTCATACTCTTCATCAATACCATAATTCAAAGGCATCAATTAGCTAGTCTCATTTCAAACAAGTAAAAAATGTTTTATTGCTGACTCTACATTGGGTGGTCTTTGCAATCACTTGCAATGCATCAGAGAGTTGGACAATGACAAGGGAGGATAGAAGGTGAATTGATGCCTTTGAGCTGTGGTGCTGGAGAAGAGTACTGAACTGCTAAAAAAATGAACAGGTTCATCCTGGAGAAGGTGAAACCAGGCTGCTCCTTGGAGGAAAGGATTCTGAAGCTTCGTCTGACATACTTTGGACATGTTGCAAGTAGAGGGACATCATGCTTGGTAGAGTGGAGGGACAGCACAGGAGGGAAAGACCCTCTATGAGGTGGATTGATTCAGTGACTGGGGTAATCAGGATGGGTGTGTTGGAGACAGTGAAGTTGGCACAGGATAGAACAAGGTTTAGGGCTGTTGTACATAAGGTCGCTCTGAGTCACAAGTGACTCAACAGCATATAACAACAACAATAACAACAATACATTGGGTATCTAATTCTGCAAATTGCTGAGAGGAGATGGTCCATCTTCTTCCTGTGGAACTGTTGGTGGATTTGAACCACAAGAGAGGTTTGTGTGGTCTTTGAGTTAACAGTGAATACCCCCAAGACTATCATGCCAAAGCTTCCAAATTAACTGCTAGGGGATGACAAATAATTAGCTATTGTTGTTTTTGTTATGTGCCATCAAATCAAGAAGAGTTCATAGTAACCTTATGAACAACAGATCTGAACTCTGTACTATCCTGTGCCATCCTCACATTCTCTGACTTGAGTCTGAAAGACCATTGAGTCACGTGAGTCCACCGCGGCAGTCACTGTATCAATCCACCTCGTTGGGAGTATTCCTCTCTTTCGCCATCCCTCCACTTTCCCAAGCATGATGTCCTTCTCCAAGGAATAGCCTCTTTTCCTAACATGCCCAAAAAACGTAAGATGAAGTTTATGATCTTTGTTTCTAAGTAGCTCTCTGGACACACCTTCTGCAAAACAAATCTGTTTGTTCTCTCTGTTGAGTTAGCTATTGCTTAAATGTGTCATTGAGTCACTTGTGACTCATAACAACTCTATGTACAACAGCTCTGAACCCTGCTCTATCCCATACCAACCTAATTGTCTCTGACACACCTACCCCAATCACCCTAGTCACTGAATCAATCCATCTCATCAAGGATCTTCCTCTCTTGCATTGTCCCTCCACCCTCCAAAGCATGATGTCCCTCTCCAAGGACTGGTCGCTCCTTGCAGTATGTCCAAAGTATGTCAGATGAAGCTTCAGAATCCTTGCTGCCAAGGAGCAGCCTGGTTTCACCCTCTCCAAGACAAATCTCTGTTGTCTTAGCAATTCATGGTATATTCAATATTCTTCCCCAGCACCACAGCTCAAAGGTATCAATTTTCCTATCATTCCTGGTCATTCTTCAGCTTTCTGATGCATAGCAAGTATTGTTGTTAAGTGTCATCGAGTCACAGGTGACTCATAGCAACCCTATAAACGAAAGTCCTCAACATTTGAATGACTTTCATTCTTTCTCCAGGTTCACAGGGTTTCTGGAGGCAAGATATTTTTGGCAGTGGATGCCACTCCTGCTTCCAAGCTTTTTTTTAATTGGGAAGCTCTACCAGACACCGCCTGCCATGGGTAACCATTATTACATTTGACACATCAATGTCACAGTGTTCACCTTCTCAGCAACCACAAGTTACCTCTGTATGGCAAATGGACACACCAGGGCTAAGAAATTAAAATTAAAACTAGAATTAGGTTTCACATTACACTTACCAGAATGGCTGAAAAAATTGCTAGTTTTAGCTGTCATCAAGTTGATTCCAATTTACCATGAGTTTATGTACAAAAGAGACATCTGATGACTCAGCTGGTAAATAAATACTTTGGGGGGAGGGGGGAAAGTAGTGGTGTAGCTGCATCATATGGTATTTCTATGCTAAGCTTTGTAAGGAAGCACCAAACTGCCTTCCTTGAGAGGGATGAAGAGCATTATGCTGAGTGAACTAATTCAGTCCCACAAGGACAAAATTGTATAAAACCATTATTGTAGAATGAGAATAAGGATCCAAGTGCGTAGGAGTGGAAGCACAGGGATGAGGATGTGCAGGAGGAGGGGGTGTTAATCATGGAATTGTACAATTAGATGGGGGCATGGGGAAGGATATTGGAAAAAACCTGTTCTGGAAAACAATGTATTCAAATTTTGTCAATAAACTAATATAATAAAAACTAATAAAAGGCTAGTGATTCTAATTCATTAGTTGCTCTATCAGAGAAGGATAGGCAGTCTCTTCCCGTGGAATTTATGTTGTTGTTGTTATGTGCCGTCGAGTCGTTTCCGACTCGTAGCGACCCTATGCGCAACAGCCCTAAACCCTGCTCTATCCTGCGCCAACCGCACTGCCACTGACACACCCATCCCGATGACCTCAGTCACCGAATCAATCCATCTCATAGAGGGTCTTCCCCTCCTGCGCTGTCTCTCCACCCTCCCAAGCATGATGTCCCTCTCCAAGGACCCGTCCCTCCTTGGAACGTGTCCAAAGTATGTCAGACCAAGCCCCAGAATCCTTGCCTCCAAGGAGTAGCTTGGTTTAATCCTCTCCAAGATGAATCTGTTTGTTTTCCTGGCAGTCCAGGGTACATTCAGTACCCTTCTCCAGCACCACAGCTCAAAAGCATCCACTCTCCTTCTGTCCTCCCTAGTCATTGTCCAACTCTCTGATGCATAACAAGCGATTGGAAATACCATGGCCTGTATCAGGCCCACCTTAGTCTCCAGAGAAACACTGTTGCTCCTGAGTACCTTAGAGAGGTCCCTAACAGCCGACTTTCCCATCGCAATGCGCTTTTTGATTTCCTGACTGCTGGTGCCAAGACTGTTGACTGTGGAGCCGAGCAAACTGAAGCTGTGAACACTCGCAATCTCTTCGTCATCGATCCTGATGCTGCCAATTGCTCCAGTGACGAGAATCTTTGTCTTCTTGACATTGAGCCTCAGTCCATACTGAAGGCTGGAGTCCTTGACCCTTCGCAGCAAGTGCATGAGGTCCTCCTCAGTTTCAGCAAGCAGGGTTGTGTCATCTGCATAACGCAGATTGTTAATAGATCTTCCACCAATCCTGATGCCACAATTCTCCTCATAGAGCCCAGCCTCTCGGATAATCTGCTCTGCATACATGTTGTAAAGGTATGGAGACAGGATGCATCCCTGGCGTACACCCTTCCCAATTTTGAAACATGCAGTGTTACCCTGCTCTGTTCTGACTACTGCCTCTTGGTCCAAGTACAGGTTTCGCATTAGCACAATTAAATGTTCTGGGATTCCCATTCTTCTCAGAGTGTTAGGAAATGAAAAACAAAAATATATATTTACTGATTGTACTGGTATTTGGTAATAGATTTATTTTTTTTCTGAATGCAATTTTACTTTAAGAATTATAATTTTATATCTTCATATGAGTTTTATGCAATATTTTTTACAAAAGCATGTTTACTTTCTTTTTAGCTATTTAAATTTTTGTTAAAGAACATTAAATATATTTATATAAATAAAATTATTTGTATAATCAGAACTTGCTAGCTGTTTGCATTTATATGTTGTTGTTATGTGCCGTGAGTCGCCTGCGACTCATAGCGACCCTATGTACAACGGCAGAAAAAAAATCATGTTTGTTATGATTGTGGTTTTTTTTTATGTGCCACTGAGTCACCTACGTACAATAACTCTTAATCCTGTCCTATTCTGAGCCAGTCTCACTGATTGCAGCACACCTATGCCCATTACCTCAGTTACTGTACCAATCCATCACATTCAGAGTTTTCTTCTCTTGTGCTGTTCCTCCACCCTTCCATATATGTCGCTCTCCTCTAAGGACTTGGCCATCCTGGGAACATGCTCAAGTATGTCAGGCAAAACTTCAAAATACTAGCCTTTAAGGAGAAACTTAGTTTCACTCTCTCCAAGACAGACTGGTTTGTTCTCTTGGTGGTTCCCGGTATATTCAATACTTTATCCCAGAACCACAACTCAAAGGCATCAATTCTCCTCATCTGTTATCCTTAGTCATTGTTGAACTCTTGTTAAAATAAAATCTATGGACGTGACGGCGCGGTGAGGCCGCCGGCTGACGGCGCAGCCGCAGATTGTGGGCGGAGTGGTCGGCTGACCTGAACAAGGCGGAGGGTTGGTACAGGCCGCTCGCCTTGGCTTTAGGCTTGCCTGCGCCTTGGCGAGTCAGTCGCAGGGCATTCAGCACCTGCTGCAGGCCGAGAAGCGCGCCGCTGAGAAGGTGTCGGAGGCCCGCAAGCGGAAGAACCGGAGGCTGAAGCAGGCCAAAGATGAAGCGCAGGCTGAAATTGAACAGTACCGCCTGCATAGGGAGAAAGAGTTCAAGGCCAAGGAAGCTGAGGCTCTGGGATCCCATGGCAGTTGCAGCACTGAGGTGGAGAAGGAGACCCAGGAGAAGATGACTGTCCTCCAGACCTACTTCCGGCAGAACAGAGATGATGTCCTGGATGATCTCCTGAGCTTTGTGTGTGATATCCGGCCCGAAATCCATGAAAACTACCGCATAAATGGATAGGAGAGGAAGAGACCCCTGCTCCATGGATTGGCGTTTTAGATGCTGTGACATGGAATAAGATTTAACAAAGCTTTCTTCTTGTGACAAACCGTTAAATTATTTCTGTATATTATAAATTCCTTTACTTTTTGGAGAGTAGCAAAACCTAGTACTTTGTGTAGATTTAGAGCTTATCCAAAGATTTCATCTTTTTACCTCATATTTCTTATAAACGTAACAATTTTCTTGGGCTTTTTAGCTGTAGTTAGCATATATCAATATGAGTTCTTTCTTAGATAGCTACTAAAAGGAAAACAATTCTTCAAAGAAAGAAATGGATTAAGTATTTCATTTCCCTAAATCTTTCTTGAAGGTCGGGGGCTTTATTGATGAAAAAGTAGTAAATAAGTTTTTTTGTAACTTGTTTGAATCGCAGCCCGCCTTAAAAGAATCCTTTCTGTTAGAAAAATCAATAGAGGTTTTCCCTGCTTTCCAAGAGTAGAGCCTTCTCGTGACACCTTTACTAAACCAAAATGAAATGAAGGTGCAGTTAATGTCCATTTATGTGGGAAAATTTTTAAACATTCTCGACCCCCCAAATAAGTTACCAAATAACGCATAAAGCCGAAAAAAGTTAATATAATGTTCAGACAGTACAGAACTGATGGCTCAATGCTGAAATGCTGAGTGTAGTAACCACGAAAGGAGCTTGGTAACACTGAATGCTTGGTGTACACGGTTGCAAGGAGAAATTCCTGGATGCTGGTTTCACTCTTTTTGCCTTTTTTCTGTAAAAGCAAAAATCCCCTTTAAATTTACTTCAGTTTATGGAAACAGGTACTAAAGAAGGCCCTTTGTTAAGTGAGGTGACATACAGTGACCTTTCGGAAAGCAGAACACACTTGTAGTCGTCTAGTTGGGGCTGCTCTTTACTTTCTTGTAGAAGTTACTAGATAGAATATGGAAACTTGTTACTTGTTATTAATATACTGGTAATCATTTAAAAGTAAAGATTCTTTGTCATGCAAAAAAAATTATACCAATATTATTCTCATTTTCATAATAATAAATAACTAAATGAAAATTTCTCAAACATTACATATCATATAAAACAATATTTGATATTTTAGTAGATATACAATTATATTTTAAACAATTTATCAAGCAATAATTACACAGTATAGTATGTGCTATGACAGGTTATGTAAGATATTAAGTTATTTGAATTTATAATGCTTATAGACTATTCAGAAAGTATGTTTTACATAATAATGCTACATCAATTTAGAAATGTTTTTCAGTGCTATACAAGGCTTCTTTTCCTTCTCCCTTCTTTATATAGGCCTCTATTGTGGGAGAAGGATGGGCAGTCCTTGCTCATGTGATTCATTGCTATTGAAAATGCTCTGAAGGGTTAATTATGAGTTGATTCCAACTTCATAGCACACAACAACAATAGCATTATTACCTTACAAGAATTTTAAGTAATTTTTTACTTGTTATGAGATCTATAATATGCATGATTTTATGAGGAAAAAATAAAAGCGGCTTCTATATTTGCATTGTGCTAACTCAGGCACTACTTGAGTCAGTACCCGATTAGTAAAAATTAAGGTCACAGACAAATCATTGCAAAAACCTATTTAAATATGGACCACTATGCTATTATATTTCCAAAACATAAAGCAAATTATATTTTTAAAACAACAACAAATACATTAGAATAAATCCATCTTTATATTTATTATTTCTAATAAAATATAGCATAAAAGTTTTTGTTCCAAAGCAGTTTGCTTTTATAAGATTATTAAGCAATTTCTCTCCAAAGGATTTAAATTTCAAAAACTAGTGGAATTAAAGATAAAAATAGGGGAAATATATTTTCATCTGAGACGTTTTCCAGGAAATACTGTTTCTTGGAGTATCTTTTTCATAGTATAGTTATAAGAAATGAACTGTTATTATGTTAAAACATTTATTTTCACATGGCAAATATTATAGATGATGTCCTGTGTTAGTTCAACCAAGCACACAACATAAAAACTAGGGTTCAGAGAATAATTTAGATATCTCTGGCTTGACACAGAACCCTTCAAATACAGGTTTCATGTTGCCAAAACATTCTATCATTTCATGATGCTTGCCATGTATTTGCTTCAGATTTTTAACATGAAAAATATAAGTTTGAAGTTGTTTAATGTACATGTATACTTATTTATTAAAATACAATGTTAAATATTTAAAACAAAATTTAGAAACAATGAATTATGTTTACTTTTCTAAAAAAAAAGGGAGTATACAGTTCTCATGACATCCCCAAAACCATTATATTATTGAAAACGATTAACATTACAGCTGACAATATGCCTTTTTCGTCCCCTAATCAAAACACATTATACACAGATTTTAATCTATTTACATACTTAATTTATGCACTCACACATAGCCAAATCTAAAAGGATCAAAGAAAATCATGAGCAATAACCACAAGGAAATAAGTAGCATATCTAGTTAAGAATGATATCATCCTCGTCAACTTTGCCTGGGAATTGCTTTAAAGTGTACATAATTAAAGGTTTTATACTCTTAGATATTTTCATTTACCATAATCTCTTTAGAGGGCTTTACACAAAGTATTAATCAGAAAATGCTGCACTAGGAAAAGACACAATACAGAAAGAAAAGGCATTATTGCAGGACTTCAAATTCCAAGATCTCAGTCTTCTCTGAAGTCATAGAGATAACTTTTTTTGATATTAGGATTGTCTGTAAATGGAGTGAAAAAGATGAGAAAGGAAAGTCTCCAAATAACAACAACAACAACAATAATAATGTCTATTTCAGAAGAAAATGAAAATGTCTACGAAATAGTAGTAGCCATTATAGTAGCAGATAAGAGATGGAACGGAGTCATTAATAAAATGTTACTTAAGAAAACTAAGAGCTACACATGATATTGCTACCAGAAAGCACAATGAGGGCTTGCCATCTGTGACAGATATTCCATCTCCAAGTTCATTTTGTACATAGTCACTGGTATTCATTAACATTGTTGTTGTTAGCTGCCATCAAGTTGAGTATGGCTCATAGCGACCCTATGGACAAAAGATCTGAAACCAGTCTTATTCTGCACCATCCTCACACTTCCTGACACACACAAGCCCAAAGCAACAGTCACCTTGTCAATCTCCCTGGCTGAGGTTCTTCCTCTCCTTCACCGACACTCCACCCTTCCCAACATGATGTCCTTCTCCAAGGAATAGCACCTCCTACAAATATGTCCAAAAATTGCTAGACGAAGACTCATCATTCTTCCCTCCAAAGAGCACTTCCACTGCACCCTTCCCAAGACATATCTGTTCATTTTCTTGGCTGTCCATGGGATGTTCAGTGCTCTTCTCCAACACCACAGCTCAAAGGCATCAATTCTTTTTTGTCATCCTTATTCATTGGCCAGATCTCAATGCATAGCTAGTAACTAGAAAGTCTATGGCTTGAACCAGACACACCTTAGAACTCAAACTGACATCACTACACCTCCATAATTTGGAAAGGTCCCTAGCTGCAGATTTTCCCATTGCAATGAGTGTCCTTATTTCCTGACTTCTCATACCAAGGGTGTTAATTGTGGGTCCAAGCAAGATGAAGCTGTTGACTGTTTCAGTCTCCTCTCCATCGATCATGACACAGCCCATTGGTCTAGTGGTAAGAATCTTGATATTGAGATGCAATCCATACTGAAGGCTGCATTCCTTGATCATCTGCAACAAGTCCTTCAAATCTTCCTCACTTTCAACAAGAAAGGTTGTGTCATCTCATAAAATAGGTTTTTGATGAGTTTCCCTCCAATCTTGATGCCACACTCCTCCTCATAGAGTCAAGATTCTCAGATGATTTGCTCAGCATATAGATTGAACAGGTATGGAGACAGAATACATCCCTGATGCACGTCCTTCCCAATTCCAAATCATGCAGTGTTTTCCTGTTCCATTCACACAACAGCCTCCTGATCTAGGTACAGGTTCCTCATGAGCACCATCAAGTGCTCTGCGATTCACATTCTTCTCAATGTCAGCCACAACTTGTCAGGATCCACACAGTCAAACGACTTTGCATTGTCAATAAACCACAAATACATGTGCTTTTGGTATTTCTTACTTTCAGCCAGGATCCATCTGACATCAGCAATGATACTCCTGGTGCCACGGACTCTTCTAAATTCCTCTTGAAATTCTGACAATTCCCTATGTAGGTACTGTTCCAGCCATTTTTGAATGATCTTCAGCAGTATTTTGCTTGCATGTGTTATCATTTATATTGTTCGATAATGTCCACATTCTGTTGTATCACCCTTCTGGGAATAGGAACAAATATAGACCTCTTAGAATCCATTGGTCAGACAGCTGTCCTCCAAATTTCCTGGAATAGGCAAGGTGAGTGCATCCAAGGCTGTATCTGTTAATTGAAACAAGTCCTGCCTGTGAGTGAGCCTTGAGCTTGGCGAAGTTGGATCCTGATGGGTGTTTGTGATTTACTTGAAAACCGGGGTATACTTGCTTGCTGAACCTGAGGAGAACCTGAAGCACTCACTCCAGAAGATCAAGGACTGTAGCCTTCAATATGGATAGAAGCTCAATATAAAGAAGACAAAGATTCTCACCACTGGGCCAATTGGCATCACCATGATGGATGGAGAAGACATCAAGGTTGATAACAGTTATAACTTGCTCAGCTCCACAATCAACACTCTCGGCAGCAGTAGTCAGGAAATCAAAAGAAAAGCTGCACTGGGAAAATATGTGGCCAGGGACCTTTCCAGAGTACTGAGAAGCAACTATGTGAGTCTAGAGACTAAGGTGCACCTGAAGTAGTCTATAGTTTTGCTTACTTGCTGGGCATCAGAAAGTTAGACAATAACTAAGGTTGATACAACAATTGATGCCTTTGAGTTGTGGTGCAGAACAAGAGTCTTGAACATACCATGGACTGCCAAGAAAACAAATAGCCCTGTCTTGGAGAGG